TTCAATGTTGTTAATTTATCTTTTAAGTCTAAAATTAACAACAGATTGTTAACGAAAATGCCTTTTAAGCTACTCGAGGCGGCGACCTTTTTGTATTTTCCAACAGAGGCGATAAATTAAAAAATTTGACAACTGTTTTAAAAATGCCAGACAGAGAGAGAGGATGACGTAGATGAGCTGATTATACTTATGTCTACAAGTACAAAGGTAAGCCATTCATTTCGGTTTTCCCAGAAGTCCTAGAGGGGAGAATAAGTAATTCAGTAGATTGCAATAATAACAATTTTTCGAAGTTTTCCATCAGTTTTCCGAAAATCCATGTGGAAAGTATTATTATACCCTACGCCACATAGTGCTAAGGGTATTATGTTTTTGTGCAATTGTTTGTAACATGGAAAAGGAAGCGAGAAAGACCCATAGTTACTTTTGCGGATCTTCATAGATTCACTTTCTGAGTCGATTTATACATGTCAGTCGATCTCTCTGTTCGTCCATCCGCCCGTCCATGTAGTTTTGTGAATAAAATGCAGGTCGCATTTAATATCCGATTGCAATGAAATTTTCCAAACAATATTTGTTTGGCCCGAGAATGAACCCTATTGAAATTGGTTAGAATCGGTTCAAATTTAGATATAGCTCCCATATATCTTCAACTGATTTCGTTTTAATTGTGCACCAAATGGACAATATCACTACAAATGACCTGAATTTTGGCACATCGGCCCAAATTCAGTCTAGAAGCAATTACATCAAATTTGGTGAAAATCGGTTCAAATATAGCTATAGCTCAGCTCCCATAGATATGTTTCATCCGAAGTGGGGGTTTAAAATCCCACACATGCGCAATATGCACTCCACAACAATAATTCTTGGGTCCAGATAACGGATACAGCCCAGAAATAAATATTGAAAATTTTGTCAAAATTGGTTCAGATTTGGACATAGCTCCCATATATATCTTCAACCGATTTTGGGTTAATTGTGTACCACATGGCCAATATCAGCCCAAATGAACTGAATTTTGGCACATTCGACGGAATTTAGTCTAAAAGCAAGTGCATCACATTTGTCGCTTCAAAATCGGTTCATATATAGCTATAGCTTCCATTTATAGGTTTCAGATATAGCTATAGTTCCCATTTATATGTTTCATCCGATTTGAGGTTTTAAATCCCTCACATGGTCTTTGGAACCAAATATCAAATATAACTCAGAAATAAGTGCCTAAAATTTTGTCAAGAGGTACTTGAACACCAAATCGCATGAAAGTGCTAAAATTCAGTCCATTTGGGCTGATGTTAGCAAAAAACCGGATATTGGATAAAAATATATATTGGAGCTATATCCAAATCTGATTTGGATATAGCTCCAATATATATTTTTATCCAAATCTGATTTGGATATAGCTCCAATATATATTTTTATCCAATATCCGGTTTTTTGCTAACATCAGCCCAAATGGACTGAATTTTAGCACTTTCATCCGATTTGGTGTTCAAGTACCTCACTTGCGTAATATGCCATACACAAGAACGATATTTAGTACTAGATATCAGATACAATTCGATAGTACCTCAGAAAAATTTTATGCATAGCGGATCAGATTTGGATAAAGCTCCCAAATATATATCTTTATCCGATTTTACCATACAGTGTTACATGAAAAAACTGCAACGAACTTTAGACTGCTGTCATTTCTAAGCCACTCGTCCGATAGCTGTTCAAATTATTCCAGTGACAGCTCATTATATTGTTTACAAGCGCACAAAAGCATTTTGTTGAGAATTTTCCAGAAAAAAAGTTATTCGTGATGGAATTCAAGCGTGATGGTGTAATTTCTTTATATTTGGCTGGAAAACCACAAGTGACTCGCATTTAAATGTGAATAAATCTTTTGGGCCTCGTAGCATCGCTCGTTATCGCGATACTCGTAGTGTAGCCGGACGTCAAGGAAGTGGACGGAAGAAAACAGCAGAAATGGTTCGAAAATTAAGAAGAAGCGACTTGAACGAAACCCTTGTCACAGTGGCAGAAAAATGTCTCGTGAGCTGAATTCGGCAAATATTGAAAATTAAGCTCGAGGTAAAGCCATTGAAATTCCGAAAATTGCAAGAACTTACACCACAATAGAAACAAAATAGACTCAAAAGAGCTAAAGAGTTGCTTCGCTTGACCGAAAGTGGTAAACTGCCGAATTTGATTTTCTCCGATGCCGATGAGAAAACATTCGTTGTACAACAGTTTGTAAACAAACAAAATGATCGTGTTTACTTGCCAAAGAGGTCAGCTGAGGCCACCAAAACTCAAGCTCCGGCCATGGTGATGGTGTGGGCCGCCATAACAGCCGATGATCGCTCTCCGCTCGTATTAATCGACCGTGGCATAGCCTTGGTCATGCAAACATTTTGGCCGCAGACCTTGGGCATTCCAACAGGACTCAGCACCATCATCGCACTCAGCACGCGCCTCCCAAGAATGGTTACAAAATAAGGGTTCTTCGCTTCATTTCCGGCTCACAATGGCCACCAAAATCTCCGAATACCAATCCGTTGGACTATTGTCTGGTCTGGAGTATTTTGGAAAGCAAGGTTGGCACTAAAATATACCAAAGAGTCGATCACTTCAAACAAGCGCTTCGCCGGGAATGGGTCAAAATACCGCAGAGCAACATTCGGGCAGTGTGTGATGGTTTCATTGGCAATAATTTAAGGCCAAAATTCGTGCCAAAGCTGACAAATTCGAACAAATCTAAACTTATTCTAAAATTTGATGCTATTTCCGACATTTTTAGCTTTCATTCAATAAAATTAAAGAAAAAAGTTAAAAAGCAGTATATTTTGGCCGGGCCGAACTTTGAATACCCTCCACTAGTTGGAACGAATTTGGAAATTTTCAAAAAATAAAATCCTTAAAAATTCTGTTAAAATCTTAAAAATACCGAATATAGCCGTTATATTGGGGTCTATACGACATGGACCCACATAGGCCTTGTTTGTCATAAGCCATAAACATATTCAAATTCGAAACTTGAAATAAACGGTGAATAATGTAGCTGAAATCATCAAAATATCGTATATAGGGAGGAAGACCTGGACCAGCATAGACAATTTTCTGTCACAGGCTATAGCATCCATTACGAACGTAAAATACGACATCTCAAACAATTTCGGTGGGTATTGTACCTAAACTCGTCAAAATACTGAATATGAGGAAGTACTGATATATGGGGGCTATAAGAAGACGTAGACCTGCACAGACAATTTTCTGTCATAGGCTGTAGTATCCATTACGGACATCAAATACCAAATTTCAAAGAATTTCGGTAAGTAATGTCCCTAAAATCATTAAAATACCGCATATCAGGAGGTACCGTTATATAGGGGCTATACGAAGACGTGGACCAACATGGCTCATTTTCTGTCTTAGACTTTGGTATCTATTACGAACTACAAAAACCTAATTTGAAACAATTCAGGTGAATAATGTCGTTAATATCATCAAAGTAACGAATATCGGGAGGTACTGTTATATGGGGGCTATGCGAAGATGTAGACCTACATGGCCCATTTTCTGTCTAAAGATGTAGTATCCATTACGAACTTCAAATACCAATTTTGAAACAATTCCGGTAAATAATGTCGCTAAATCCATTAAAATACCGCATATCGGGAGGTACCGTTATATGGGGGCTATACGAAGACGTGGACCTATATGGTCCATTTTCACCCTGTATATAGTAATATTAGGGTTAGGGAATCTCGTGAGTAACAATGATTTGTTTAAATTACTCTGTGGAACGTAATTTTTTCGAAATTGTTGTGGATCGTAAGTTTTTCCTGGCAAATCCAGTGATATTTAGGTAAGCGAACCTCACGAATAACAATAATTTGTGCAGATTTCTCTATGGAACGTAAATTTTCTATTCAATTTTTTATTAATTTTTGTGGATCGTAATATTTTTAGTCGGAAAACTTTCGAAGCATATGATTTTTAGAACAAAATAATTGCTTGGCCCAATATTTCTTTATTTTCAGGGTCACTTATCTTAAAAACTACAGCGAGTCGTAGGTTTTCCCAAAGAAAAAATTTCGAAATCTTGGATTTTCATCATCACTACAATTTTTTCCATAAAATTTGTCTCACATTCTTTGCCCTACGACCAGGCATAAAATCAAAAAGGAATCTCAAGATATCCTTTCAATTTACAAAACGGCCCCTTCCAAAAGGGACATGTAGCCACTGGCCCACCAACATCATTTTAAAATAGCTAGGAAAAAATAAACATATTTTAACGCCTGAAAAATCATTTCGTTATGCCAATGTTCTTTCAAATATTTTCTCGGCTTTTTTTGTCCACAAAAACAGGATAAAGGATTTTTTCTGCCAATATTCTACTTTTCAAAGAGTCTTCCAGTTAAGGACTTAATTATGTGAAGCAAATGATAACGTTTTGAATACAAATAAACCCGAGAAGCAGAACACTTCACTTCGACAGCAGCGGCGGCATCATCTTGAAAATAGATGAAAAGGAAAAATAGCCAGCTTTTGTGAGAACTTCAAAATCACATCCTTGAAAATCCGTTTTTTGGCCAGCAAAAAATAAATTCCGCAAAAGGGTCTTTGTGCGGGTGTTAACTGAAGAATGATTTCATTTTTCTATTTCGCCAGTTTTATTGTGCCCCTTGATGGTGGTTGTTGTTGTTGCTTTTGTCGTTCTGGCTGCCATCAAAATTTGCATAATTTGTTAAAGGACATTTGTCATCGTTTTCAGTTTTTGTTTTTTATGGTCGTTGTCGTTTCTCTTTCATTCTGAACTGGATATTGCCAAATATTTTTGTCCTCTCCCCACCCCCTCCCCCTCTTTCAAATAAATTTGCATTTTTTTTCCTTTTCTTTACAATTCACTGACTTTCCGTGAGATTTGTGACTTTTAGCACACATTGAGATTTTTCACAATTTATGACAGTTAATTGAAAATTTATTTTAATTTTATTTCCATTTCAGGTCTGGTTTCAAAATCGCCGTGCCAAATGGCGTAAAACGGAAAAATGCTGGGGCCGCAGCACAATTATGGCCGAATATGGCCTGTATGGAGCCATGGTCCGCCATTCGCTGCCTTTGCCAGAGACCATATTGAAATCGGCCAAGGATAATGAATCTGTAGCACCCTGGCTGCTAGGTATGGAGAACAAAAGTAAATGCAACAATTGTATCACAAACTTTTTTTCCCAAATAATTTTTTAAGAATTTTTTAGATTAGATCCTGAGTCCTTCATCCCGTTTTTTTTTTTCTATAGAAAAAAATCCACAGGTCCATGAGTCAGTTTTTTCTTTAGGAAAAAAAAAAACTCAGGTCTCTGAGTGAGATTTTTCTTTAGAAAAAAAATATGACAGAAAATTGTCTCTGCAAGTCCACGTCTTCGTATAGCCCCCATTTAACGGTACCTCCCGATATTCGGTTTTTATTGATGATTTTAGCGACATAATTCACCGGAATTGTTTCAAATTTGGTAATTAAGGTTCGTAATGGATACTACAGCCTATGACAGACAATTATCCATGAAGGTCCAGGTCTTCGTATATCACCCATATAACGGTACCTCCCGATATTCGGTATTTTGATAGCGACATTATCTACCGGTATTTTTTCAAATTTGGTATTTGAAGTTCGCAATGGATACTACAGCCTAGGACAGAAAATTGTCTGTGCCGGTCCACGCCTTCGTATAGCCCCCATATAACGTATTAGAAGTTCGGCCCGGCCAAACTTACAGCTTTTTTTATTTGTTTTCTTTACAAAAATATATTCAGGTCCCTAAGTGAGTTTTTTCTTCATGTCCCTGAGAGAGTTTTTTCATTAGAAAAAAATTCCTCAGGTCCCTGAGTGAGTTTTTTTCATTAGAAAAAAATTCCTCAGGTCCCTGAGTGAGTTTTTTTCTTTAGAAAAAAATTCCTCAGGTCCCTGAGTGAGTTTTTTTCTTTAGAAAAAATTCCTCAGGTCCCTGAGTGAGTTTTATTCTTTAGAAAAAAATTCCTCAGGTCCCTGAGTGAGTTTTTTTTTCTTTAGAAAAAAATTCCTCAGGTCCCTGAGTTAGTTTTTTTCTTTAGAAAAAAATTCCTCAGGTCCCTGAGTGAGTTTTTTTCTTTAGAAAAAAATTCCTCAGGTCCCTGAGTGAGTTTTTTTTCTGTAGAAAAAAATTCCTCAGGTCACTGAGTGAGTTTTTTTTCTTTAGAAAAAAATTCCTCAGGTCCCTGAGTGAGTTTTTTTCTTTAGAAAAAAATTCCTCAGGTCCCTGAGTGAGTTTTTTTCTTTAGAAAAAAATTCCTCAGGTCCCTGAGTGAGTTTTTTTTTAGAAAAAAAAAATTTTTTTCTTTAGAAAAAAATTCCTCAGGTCCATGAAAGAGTTTTTTCTTTGAAAAAAAAATCCTCAGGTCCCTGAGTGAGTTTTTTCTTTGGAAAAAAATTCTCAGGCCCATTTGTGAGTTTTTTTCTTTCGAAAAAAAAAAAATCCTCAGGCCTCTTAGTGAGTTTTTTTCTTTAGAAAAAAATTCCTCAGGGCCCTGAGTAAGTTTTCTTTTTGACCTTGAAAACTAAATGTTTTTCATTGTGGCTTGTGCCCGTGCCACTTCTCATGTTGCCATAATTACCCATGTTGTCATCCTGATATATCTAATTTTAGCAATTCACAAACCCTTATCTCCAGTTTGTTAACATTTGTAGCGAAGATGTTAAGTTTTGTTTTTTATTTTTCAATTTTTCATTTTATTTGTGAACATATTTTAAGAGCATGACGAAATGCACTTTAAATGTATTTCGAAAAAAAAAAAACAAAAAAACGCAGACAATGGTAATTTTTTATGTTTTAAAACGTTGTCATATGTTCGAAATTTGTTCGACGATGGCATTTAAAATGCGAAAATGCTAAATGATAATCGGGAAACAATTTGGAAAGCCACCACCATCAACAAAACACAACTTCAACACATCTACATCATCATCATCATTATTGTCAAACCAAAAGTGATTAACACCCCCCAATAGAGGAAAGAAACTTTTCGGGCCTCAGAGATATACAGATATGACACCAACAACAGGAACAACAACAACAACAAGTACTTGAGTCAAATCCAACAAATTGTTTTCCTAAATACCACATCAATGCCATGAAGTACAAAACAATGCCATGGCAGACATTGGCACACACACACACACACACTCCGACCCAGCCAACCCAAAGGATATACACAAGGATGTGCCAGTGAAGTAATCCCCTCAAACACTTTACAAGTTGCGTAATAAAATCGACTTTTGGGATTAACAACCGTTCAAATAAATAAATAATATTAGATGAGGCCTTCAATTCTCTGCCGGTATTGCTGGCTGGTTTCATTTATCTCTCCAGGATTGATATCCTTGGGACTCGTTACTTCCTCGTTTTTTGTTGAGCCCACAATGGTGGTGGAAAATCTTCAATTGTTTTTCATGTGGCCGTATTTATGGAAGGGTGAAAAACGGTATGTGACTCTCTCGTTATGATTATTATTAGGTTTTAGGCCACACATCCAAATATCCTTTGGCCTCAGCCATGGATGGATGAATGGACGCTGGGATGACTTCTTCGGAACAAAAAAAAAATATAACATGTTTTTATTTCCCCCTCTGTTAATCGCTTAATAAATGCAAAGGATTGCCAGTTAAATACAATTTAAGGCTTTCATTATTTAAAAATTGCAAAGGGAAAGAGGTCAATTCACCCTACCCAAAGTACCTAACGAATTGACATGATATAGTAACAAATTATCCTTAGAGATCTAGGGATGATTTATCTATGGAAAAAAGTAATGCCATGATACTGAGGATCTCCTTTCTATGGAAAGGATCTGTAAAAAGGGGAATTTCTTAAAAATATAAGCAATTTTTTTTCTATAAAACTTGAGGACCTTTTGAGCTACTTTTTTTACTGAAGAAGGACATTTTACCTAACGTTAGGACTTTTTTTCAAAATTCATTGGGTTCAAAGGATTTTTCTATTGAAAAATGAACTCCTCTGGGCCCTAATGCTTTTTTGGGATCCGGGGACATTTTATATAGAAACCAGTAAAGAAAGTCTTAAAGTCGGGCGGGGCCGACTTAATGATACCCTACACCACTTTGCTAATTTAGTAGAGCCCCACATAACAATTAAAAGTTTTTATGGGAGAATTTAATCATACACGCTATGACTACAATTTCAATTTTAAGTTCAAAGGACTAAATATGCCGAAGCATTTGTATCTTTTAAATTCGGACTTGTATTGCTCATTTAGTGCACAATTAATTTGAAATCGGATAAAGATATATATGGAAGCTATATCCAAATCTGAACCGATCTTGATAAAATTTAGCAAAGGTATTTCTGAGCTGTATTTGATGTACTTCCCAAAATATTGTTGTTACAGAGTGCATATTACGGCTGCGGAGGACTAAAATAACAAATCGGATGAACAATATATATTTTTGGAGCTTTAGCTATATCTGAACCAATTTCGATCAAATTTGGCATATTTATCTTCAGGCCCAAATTGGTTGTACGTACAAAATTCCAGATTATTTGGGCTGATATTACACGTTTGGTGCACAATAAAAGGCAAATCGGAGGAAGATATATGTGGGGGCTATGTCTAAATTTTGACCGATTATCTCCAATTTTAATAGGGCTCGTCCTTGGGCCAAACAAATGATTTGTGCAAAATTTCATCTGGATCGGGTAATAAATGCGAGCTGTACTTTGTTCACAAAAATACATGGACAGACGGACGGACGGACATGCATAAATCGACTCAGAATGTGATTCTATGCAGATTATCAAAAGGAACTATGGGTCTATCTCGTTTCCTTTTGCCTGTTACAAACAAATGCACAAAGACATAATACCCTGATCAGCTTGTGGTGTAGGGTATAAAAACCCATTGGTAATCTGAGAAGTTTTCAGACCTCGAGCTGTCCTGTTTTCAGAAAATATTTCTCATACCTATGAGGAGTTCTTTTTTCTCTAGAAAAAATTCCTAAACTCTGAAAAAGTATCTTTACATAAAACAATTTCTCTCTTTTTCCAAAAAAAAAAAAAAAAATTCCAGAAATAATTTCCCTAAATTATTGAAAAATATTTTGAGAGGAACTCAGGGTTGCAAATTAGCTACTTTTGGGGAGTGCATCTTTATAGGAAATTTTTGGGAGCACCATGAATGCCTCATGCGTAGACATTTAAAGAATATTTTTGGTAACATTTTAGACCTCAAATGTGGACCTATAAAAAAAAGTTTTGGAGGCCGCCCCGGTATCTTTGGTTTTCATTGCCTGAAACGAGGATTTTTCAAAGACTATTTTTAGGAGCAATCCTAAATTTTATTGAATGAAAGCAAAAAATATCGGAAATAGCATGACATTTTAGAATATGTTGGGATTTCTTCGAATTGGTCACCTTTGGCACGAATTATGGCCTTCAAACGGCCAACACACGGTCACGCGCTGCCCGAATGTTGCTCTGAGGTATTTTGACCCATTCCCGGCGAAGCGCTTACTTGAAGTGATCGACACTTTGGTATTTTTTTGTGCCAACCTTGCTTTCCAAAATACTCCAGACACAATAGGCCAACGGATTGGTATCCGAAGATTTTGGTGGAGATGAAGCGAGAAACCTCCTCTCCAAGTTGGAGGGTATAAAATAGAGCTCGGATTCTTTAGGAGTTTCTTTTCCTGTAGAAAAAAACTAATTTCTTAATTTTCTCAAGTCTACCAAGATTTTTGAAAAATATTTTTAAAGAAACTCAGGATTGAAGCTTAGCTACTTTAGGGAGGATTGTCAGGGCATTAAACGTGCATACTTACAGGCAATTTTTGCGAGCACCATGAATGCCTAGACATTTAAAGAATATTTTTGGAAACGCTTTAGGCTTCAAAGGTGGATCTTTAAAAAAAAATTTGGAGGCCGCCCCTGTATCTTTGGATTTTATTGCCTGAAACGTGGATTTTTCAAAGACTATTTTTAGGAGCAATCCCAGTTCTATTTGGGCATCATTGGGCATCATTCTTAATCGTGGATTTTTAAAGAATATTTTAACAGCAATCCCAGGTCTATTTTTATGTAACTTTCCGAATTCTAGACTTTTGTAGCCACAGCAATATGACTACAGAGGGTATATAGGGTGAGGTAAAAAAGCCATAATTTTTAATTTTTTTTAATTTAATTGAATGGAAACAAAAAATATCGGAAATAGCATCAAATTTTAGAATACGTTTGGATTTGTTCGAATTGGTCACCTTTGGCACGAATTATGGCCTTCAAACGGCCAATGCAACCGTCACACGCTACCCGAATGTTGCTCTGCTGTATTTTGGCCCACTCGACACTCGACAACCTTGTTTTCTAAAATACTTCCGACACAATAGTCCAACGGATTAGTATCCGGAGATTTTGGTGGTCATTGTGCGCTGGAAATGAAGCGAGGGACCACATTTTGTAACCTTTCGTGGGTGGCGCGTGCTGAGTGCGATGATGATGCTGAGTCCTGTTGGAATATCCAAGGTCTGCGGCCAAAATGTTTGCGTGCCCAAGTCTTTAATCCACCCTCCAGAATATTTTCGCGATAATAGTCAGCCATTTATTCTGATGCCACGTGATCGATTAATACGAGAGGAGAGCGACCATCGGCTGTTGTGGCTGCTCACAATATCACCATGACCGGCACTTGAGTTCTGGTGGCGAACCGAAGGTGCACATTTTCAGCTGACCTCTTTGGCAAGTAACCACGATCATTTTGTTTTTGTTTACAAACTGCTGGACAACGAATGTTTTGCCATCGGAGAAACTCTTTAGATCTTCTGGGTCTATTTTCTATCACTTGCGGTGTAAGTTGTTGCACTTTTTGGAATTTCAATGGCTTTACGCCGAGTCTATTTTTCAATATTTGACGAATGGAATATTGTGTTGTTTTCAGCTCACGAGCCATTTATCGGCCACTGCGACGCGGGTTTCGATTAAGTCGCACCTTTACTTTTCGAAACATTTATGCTGATGTTGCTGTTTTCTTCCGTCCACTTCTGCACAGAAAGAGAAAGGATAATCTGATTTTGCTCCAATCCTAATATTTGCTTTAGTTCTAGGTCAGGTGAGAAATGGACAGTATCGGCCTAATCCAACAAGTACCTCCCCCACAAATTTTCAAAATTTCGAATAAATATAATTGTTTTAAGGTATGTTGTAAGAGTCCGATTGTCTGAATCCAAGGTCTGGTGTGAAGATGGAATACATCGGTCCACTCCTTCTGGTTCCTCCCTCACAAAGGGTAAAAATTTGGAATATCTCTGAAGCTCATAAAACGGAAAATTAACGTCCGATTCCATTCTGACTTGATACATCGCAATATTTCCATCAGCAGAAGATCTGTTATAAAGATGGTAGAGATCGGACCATTCCTTCTAATACCTCCCCCACAGAGGGTCAAAGTTTTGAATAACCAAAACGATTATAAAAATTCGAAATAAGCATCCGGATCTCTTTATATTTCACTCATCCTATTATTTCAACTATCCCAAAATCTTCTGTGAACGTGGGATATATATGCCCTCTCCTTCTGGTACCTTCCCCACAAAAGGGTCAAAATTATGAATATTCATGAAGGTCGTAAAACGCGAAAATATTGTCCGATTCCATTCTGACTTGGTACATCTCCATATATCCATCCACACAAGGTCTCTTATAAAGATGGTGGAGATCAGACCATTCCTTCTGGTACCTCCCCCACAAAGGTTCTATTTATAACCACTTTGCCACAAGTAGGGTGTTGCAAAAATAATATCTGATTGCCGCACAAACTAAAGTCATTTTTCATGAGTCTATTAGTGTCTTCGCCACCCTTCAAATTATCTCACCCTCCTTTTTTGGAAAGCAATATTTGAAATTTCATTATCCTTTGACGCTATTTTGTTGCTGTTGTTCTGCCTACATTTCATTCCACTTTCCCTTGTGTTTTACATTCGTCATTCATTATGACTGCTGTTTATAAATGACTATTGTTCTGGTTGTTGTCTCCTTTGAGTGGCTTAAATCGGATTAAATGTTATGATAAATAAAAATAAAAGGATCAACATTTCGGATGGCAAATTAACTTGACATTGAGCCAACAACAAAGGCAATGTGAGAAGTTTTCCAAAGAAATTAAAGAAAAACATCCGATTAACTTTAATTCGAAGGGAAGTCGGGAAATTTTAATTAAAAATTATCCGCCATTCCTCCTTTTAACTGAGTAGAACATAACTATTTTTCCAAGGACATTTTTAATTAACATTCACCCCCCTCCCCTTTCTTGTCATATCATTGCAGGTATGCATCGCAAATCCATAGATGCCCAACACACATTACGTGATGATTCCGGGGTCAGTGATCCCGAAGACCCAGAGGCGGATGTTGAAACAACTACCAACAAATCAAAGGAATCCCTCAAGAACTCCAAGGAATTAAGTTCTTCAACCGAGTCCCTGAATGTTGTAAGTCCCGCACCACCCATGACCACTTTACCGCTGGCCTCAGCCTCACCAGCTACCACACCAACAGCCACCACAACATCGACGCCTTCACCCCATATTGATTTGAATTCGCCTACCTCGTCGCCCACCATACAACAACACCAGCAGCAGCAGCAACAACAACACCTTCAACAATATCATCATCATTATAATGCCCAACATTTGGCCGCATCTGGAAGGCTGGCCTCATTTCAGACTCTGCAACAACATTCTTCCAACAAAGACTCCAATGCGGATGACAGAATCTCTATGGCACAATCTTCTCCGACACTGGCATCACACAGCACACCGCCAACTCCATCTTATCATCCGCTATTGGATGCCGCCAATGCCAGTGCCTGTGCTGGTGCGGCCAGTACCAAAGATTTTCACATGATCATGAACTCAGCTGTGGCAGCGGCAGCTGCTGCAGCCGCCAGTGATATTTATGGAACGAGTTTGGTACAGGATCCAGATACGTTCAGGTAAGTTTTACGAAAGAAAGGTACAACACGAATTCCAGGTATAGAAAAAGGTCTAGTAGAGGTCAGCTGGAGTTGGCTAGTCCCAAGTGGAGTTGGCTAGTCCAAACTGTAGTTGGCTAGTCCCAACTGTAGTTGGCAAGTCCTAACTGGAGTTGGCTTGTTCCAACTGTAGTTGGCAAGTCCCAATTGGAGTTGGCTAGTCTCCTAACTGGAGTTGGCTATTCCCAACTGAAGTTGGCTTGTTCCCCAATTAGAGTTGGAGTTGGCTATTCCCAACTAGTCCAAACTGTAGTTGGCTAGTCCCAACTGTAGTTGGCTAGTCCCAATTGGAGTTAGCTAGCCCCAACTGGAGTTGACTAGTGCCAACTGGAGTTGGCTAGTCCCAACTGGAGTTGTCTGGCCCAAATGGAGTTGTCTGGCCCGAATGGAGTTGGCTAGTCCCCCAACTGTAGATGGCTAGTCCCAACCGGAGTTGGCTAGTCCCAACTGTAGTTGGCTAGTCCAAACTTGAGTTGGCTAGTCCCAACTGGAGTTGTCTAGTCCCAACTGGAGTTGGCTAGTCCCAACTGGAGTTGGCTAGTCCCAACTGGATTTGGCTAGTCCCAACTGGATTTGGCTAGTCCCAACTGGATTTGGCCAGTCCCAACAGAAGTTGGCTAGTCCCAACTGTAGTTGGCTAGTCCCAACTGTAGTTGGCTAGTCCCAACTGTAGTTGGCTAGTCCAAACTGTAGTTGGCTAGTCCAAACTGTAGTTGGCTAGTCCCAACTGTAGTTGGCAAGTCCCAACTGGAGTTGGCTAGTCTCAACTGTAGTTGGCTAGTCCCCAACTGTAGTTGGCTAGTCCCAACTTGAATTGGCTGGTCCCCCAACTGGAGTTGGGTAGTCCCCCAAAGTAAGGTACAACACGAATTCCAGGAAAAAGAAGGTCTAGTAGAGGTCAGCTGGAGTTGGCTAGTCCAAGTGGAGTTGGCAAGTCCAAACTGAAGTTGGCTGGTCCCGACTGTAGTTGGCTAGTCCCAACTGGAGTTGGCTAGACACAACTGGAGTTGGCTAGTCGGAACTGAAGTTGGCTAGTCCCAACTGGAGTTAGCTAGTCCCAATTGGAGTTGGCTGGTCCCAACTGGAGTTGGCTGGTCCCAACTGGAGTTGGCTGGTCCCAACTGGAGTTGGCTGGTCCCAACTGAAGTTGGCTGGTCCCAACTGAAGTTGGCTTCTCCCAACTGAAGTTGGCTAGTCCCAACTGGAGTTAGCTAGTCCCAACTAGAGTTGGGCAGTCCCAACTGCAGTTGGCTAGTCCCAACTGGGGTTGGCTAGTCCCAACTGGGGTTGGCTAGCCCCAACTGGGGTTGGCTAGTCCCAACTGTAGTTGGCTAGTCTCAACTGGAGATGGCTAGTCCCAACTGGAGTTGGCTAGTCTCAACTGTAGTTGGCTAGTCCCCAACTGTAGTTGGCTAGTCCCAACTTGAATTGGCTGGTCCCCCAACTGGAGTTGGGTAGTCCCCCAAAGTAAGGTACAACACGAATTCCAGGAAAAAGAAGGTCTAGTAGAGGTCAGCTGGAGTTGGCTAGTCCAAGTGGAGTTGGCAAGTCCAAACTGAAGTTGGCTGGTCCCGACTGTAGTTGGCTAGTCCCAACTGGAGTTGGCTAGACACAACTGGAGTTGGCTAGTCGGAACTGAAGTTGGCTAGTCCCAACTGGAGTTAGCTAGTCCCAATTGGAGTTGGCTGGTCCCAACTGGAGTTGGCTGGTCCCAACTGGAGTTGGCTGGTCCCAACTGGAGTTGGCTGGTCCCAACTGAAGTTGGCTGGTCCCAACTGAAGTTGGCTTCTCCCAACTGAAGTTGGCTAGTCCCAACTGGAGTTAGCTAGTCCCAACTAGAGTTGGGCAGTCCCAACTGCAGTTGGCTAGTCCCAACTGGGGTTGGCTAGTCCCAACTGGGGTTGGCTAGCCCCAACTGGGGTTGGCTAGTCCCAACTGTAGTTGGCTAGTCTCAACTGGAGATGGCTAGTCCCAACAGTAATTGGCTAGTCCCAACTGGAGTTGGCTAGTCTCAACTGCAGTTGGCTAGTCCCAACTGAAGCTGGCTAGTCCCAACTGAAGCTGGCTTGTCCCAACTGGAGTTGGCTAGTCCCAACTGAAGCTGGCTTGTCCCAACCGAAGTTGGCTAGTCCCAACTGAAGCTGGCTTGTCCCAACCGAAGTTGGCTAGGCTTGTCCCAACCGAAGTTGGCTAGGCTTGTCCCAACCGAAGTTGAAAAATCCCAAAACTTTTCGTGTGAAAAAATCCTCAAAGAAAAAATCCTTGAAGTCCTCACCTTTTTAGAGCTCTCTCGAATTTCCAGTTCCCGCATTCTTTAATTTCCCCGAAAAGAAAAACCAAAAATTCTTGCATGCTCTCATTCTTTATAAATATATACTTTCGGAAATATTTTTCCTTGTGCCACTCTTGGAAAATATCCTTTAGTTCGCTGGACAAGGATTGACCCACTTCCATTTATTCCATAGAACACATTCGCCTTTTTCCGAATCAAACAAATGGGCATCGGGACAACGTACCAGTTCGGGGGCAGCGGCGGCTTTCTCACACACCCAGTAGGCGGTGGGATCCCAGAAATTACGAACGGGTACATTCAAATTCGAACTACTACACTCGGGTGCATTATTGCTATCGGGATCGCAGGCCAAGACAACGGCCAAAAGGCCAAGCAAGGCAATCAAACAACTAACTGCAATGGAAAGGGGAGCTGAACTCATTTATCCTTTTGGGAATGGTTTCAGAGGACTTACAATATTTCATGTTGCAGGTTTTTATTTTTCTATGGAGTAGTTAAAGGCTGCACTTGTAATGGAAAACTTGTGCCTCATCCTAGGCTATGCTGACTTATTTATAGTAAAAAAATATCCATGTACTGCCAACCCTAAGTGATTTGTTATCTCGAACTTGCATAAGTTTGTCGTGTAAGTTCGAACGCTGTTGGTTGTCATTGCATGTAATTGCATTCGCCATTACCTTGTAATGCCTACCTATGATTGCAATTGATATCTTTTTTATTTGCTCAATAGTCGGAACGTTGTAAAGTCTTATCAGGCTTGATGGTTTTTTTCTAGCCTGCAGCTGCGAACCACTGAAGAAGGAAAGTCATAGAAGTGATGGGTATTAGAAGTTCATGGCTCAACATTTTCTTTGAGTCTTGGCGCAGCCTTCCTTTGAACAGCGGAATTTGCAATGGAGGTATGTTTTTTTTTTTTTTTTTTTTTTTTTTTTTGAAGAGCGCATTAAACTCCAAAAGAGCTTACCGCCACTTCTTGGATTTTTCCGACCTAATACGAATTTTTATATGGCGGCCCACACCATCACCATGGCCGGCGCTTGAATTCTGGTGGCCAACCGACGGTGCACATTTTCAACTGACATGACCTATTTGGCAGGTAAACACGATCATTACGTTTGTTTACAAACTGCTGGACAACGAATGTTTTCTCATCGGAGAAAACCAAATTCGGTAGTTCACCACTTTCGGCCAAGCGAAGCAACTCTTTAGCTCTTTTGAGTCTATTTCTGTTGCGGTGTAAGTTCTTGGACTTTTTGGAACTTCAATGGCTTCACACCGAGCTCATTTTTCAATATTTGCCGAATGGAATGTTGCGATATGTTCAGCTCAAGAGCCATTTTTCGGCCACTGCGACGCGGGTTTCGATCAAGTCGCTTCTTTACTTTTCGAACCTTTTCTGCTGATGTTGCTGTTTTCTTCCGTCCACTTCCTTGATGTCGGGCTACGCTAACAGTATCACGGTAATGAGCGAGTATTCAGTAATGGAAACTACAGTCTATGCCAGAAAATTGTCTGTGCAGGTCCAGGCCTTCATATACGCCCCATATATCAGTACCTCCCGATATTCGATACAATAATGATTTAAGCTACATTATACACCGTCTTTGTTTCAAATTTCGTATTTAGTTGTTGTTTCGAATTTCGTATTTAGAGTTCGTAATGGGTACGTATAGCCCCCATATATCAGTACCTCCATATATTCGGTATTTTGATAATTTCAGAGACATTATTTACCGGAATTGTTTCAAATTTGGTATTCAAGGTTCCTAATGGATACTACAGCCTGTGACAGAAAATTGTCTATGCAGGTCCAGGTCTTCATATAGGCCCCATATGTCAGTACCTCCCTATATTTGGTATTTTGATGATTTCAGCGACACTATTCACCGGAATTGTTTGAAATTTGGTATTAGAAGTCCGTAATGGATATTACAGCCTATGACAGAAAATTATCTGTGCAGGCCCACGACTTCGTATAGCCCTCATATAACGGTACCTCCCGATATTCGGTATTTTGATGATTTTAGCGACATTATTCACCGGAATTGTTTCAAATTTGGCATTTGAAGTTCGTAATGGATACTTCTGCCTGTGACAAAAAATTGTTTTTGCAGGTCCAGGTCTTCGTATAGCCCCCATATAACGGTACCTCCCAATATTCCGTATTTTAATCATATCTACCTTATTCCCCGGATTTTTTTCAAGTTTCGCATTTGAATATTGTAATGGCCTAAGACAAAAGTTGGCTATGCAAGTCCACGTCGTCATGTAGATCCCAATATAACGGCTATATTCGGTACTTTTAAGATTTTTACAGAATTTTTAACGGATTTTATTTTTTTTTTGAAAATTTCCAAATTCGTTCCATATGGTGGTGGATACTCAAAGTTCGGCCCAACCGAACTAGCTGCTTTTTTACTTGTCTATGTTTCTTGTGGTTGACAAAGTCACATAGGTATCACCAGTTTCTCTTGAGTTCCTTAATGAACTTATAATACCATTATTTATGGCCAGGCCAGCTGTTATTACAAGAGATTCAACTCATTACGCAACATTTCAAAATGTATCGGAAGTGAAAGCTAACTGCCTTCCATCGTAGAAGAATACAGTTAGACGCATGAAGACAGCTGATGGAACAATGAACTGTCAAACCAATTTTGGAATTGAAATTTTTGAATCAAAAATTTTTGAAAATCGCCTATTATAATAACCTCTGATTGACGTCGTATAAAATAACATATAAAAATCTACTTATATTTGAAAAAAAAAAAAAAAAACATTTTAAAATTGTTGTCATATCAATGTTCCCAAGCCTTGATGCATCTACCTGTATTTTTCTACCAGGCTATCTTCGAAATCTTCTTCCATGTAAACACATATACCCCCTTCAAGTTCTGTAAATAAAAGCTGTTTTCAATTTCAAATTATTTTTTTATTCACTTAATTTTCTGGACAAGGGGCGGTCCAATTCCAATTCTTGTAGGAAACACATTGGCCCAAAGCCGAATCGAATAATTCAGCGGTGGGGCAACGGACAATTTCAGCTGCGGCACCAGCCTTAGTACATTGCCAATAGCAGGTGGGATCCCAGAAGTTGCGAACGGGCACATTCAGGTTGCTGCTGGTGCATGTGGGCATATTGTTGCTGTCAGGATCACAGGCCAACACACAGGCAATGACACAAGCCAAGAAAGTCAAGCAGATGACTGGAAAGGATTTAGAGAATTAAATTTTTATGATTCTTTCATTGATGAGTCACCTTACCGAATTTCATTTTTAGATAGTTTGGTTGATTGGCTGATCAGCTCCCAATAGTTCCGAATCACAACTTGTCGAATTCCCCAAATGCATTTTTGATTTTTATACCTGCAATAAATTAGATTTTCGCCATAGATAAGCAATTATTTAATTGATTTTTTAAAAAATGAAATGAACATAGTTTCGGTTGGAAACCGAACAGTAAAATGACATAAGTTCTAAAGAACTGATAACAAATTTGTTGGTGACCAAAGCTTCCTTTTGTTTCCAATAGAAGTTGGTTTTTCTTTTTAAGTGCCATTCATTTCTTATCGAACATTTCAGGTACATATGTCGGGAGTTTTAAAAATAAATTTGTTATTGGCAATTTAACTTGACAAGTTCCAATTAACTTTGAGCTACATTTTGTGAAGGAACTCCGATGTTTGGGGGGGGGGTAATTTCAAGTTGATAGATGATGATTAGATAGTGTGGCGACAAATACATGGAGGAGATTATTTCTTGGATAAATATTGAGTATTATTAATTTTGACCGTGTAATGTGACTTTCTAGAGCAAACTTGTAGATGGTTCCCACAAACTGATAAAACATTCGACTCTTCATCCATAAATGGCAAGGAAAAATAGACCCGTCATTGCCTTATAAGATATTATTATACCCTCAGCCATATGGCTTTTTTTAAAGCGATATTGAATGAAAGCAAAAAATTTCGGAAATAACATCAAATTTTAGAATAAGTTTAGATTTAATCGAATTGGTCACCTTTGGCACGAATTATGGCCTTCAAATGGCAAATGAAACTGTCACACGCTGCCTGAATGTTGCTCGGCGGTATTTTGGCCCTTTCCCGGCAAAGCGCTTGCTTGAGGTGATCGACACTTTGATATTTTTTTAGTGCCAACCTTGCTTTCCAAAATACTCTCAATACAATAGTCCAACGGATTGGTATCTGGAGATTTTGGTGACCATTGTGCGCTGGAAATGAAGCGAGGAACCTCATTTTGAAACCATTATTGGGTGGCGCGTGCTGAGGGCGATGATGGTGCTGAGTCCTGTTGGAATGCTCAAGGTCTGCAGCCAAAATGTTTGAGTGCCCATGGCTTAAATATACCCTCCAGAATATTTTCGCGATAATATTCGGCATTTATTCTGATGCCACGGTCGATTAATACGAGCGGAGAGCAACCATCGGCTGTTATGGTGGCCCACACCATCATCATGGCCAGCGCTTGAGTTCTGTGGTGTGGTGGCCAACCGAAGGTGCACATTTTCAGTTGACCTCTTTGGCAAGTAAACGCAATAATTTTTTTTACAAACTGCTCGACAACGAATGTTTTCTCATCGGAGAAAACCAAATTCGGCAGTTCACCACTTTCGGCCAAGCGAAGCAACTCTTTAGCTCTTTTGAGTCTATTTTCTTTCTGTTGCGGTGTAAGTTCTTGCACTTTTTGGAATTTCAATGGCTCTACCCCGACCGAGCACATTTTTCAATAATTTCAATAAATTTCACGAGCCATTTTCGGCCACTGCAACGCGGGTTTCGATCAAGTCCCTTCTTTACTTTTCGAACCATTTCTGCTGATGTTGCTGTTTTCTTCCGTCCACTTCCTTGACGTCAAGCGGCTACGCTACCAGTATCACGGTAACGAGCAATGGTACGAGACACAAAAGATTTATTCACATTTAAAGTGCTCTGGAGTGCTCTAACGATAGTCACTTGTGGTTCTCCAGCCAAATATAAAGAAATTCCACTATCACGCTTGAAGTCCATCACGAATAGCCTCTTTTTTTCTGGAAAATTCTCACCAAAATGCTTTTGTGCGCTTGTAAAAAATATAATGAGCTGTCAATGGAATAATTTTAACAGCTGTCGGACGAGTGGCTTAGAAATGACAGCGGTCTGAAGTTGGCTGCAGTTTTTTCATCTCATCCTGTATATCATTTGATACGGCCAAAGCGTGCCTCATCGAAATAACGGTTTTAGACCCTAGGTCTCTTTGTGACAAACCCGTTTCAGGACATTTGGAGACGATCTAGCAATGTCTGTCCGTCCGTCTGTCTGTCTGGCTGGCTGGAAAACACGATAACTCTTGAAGGGAGTATCTGATTTGACCCAAACTTGGTACATCGTAATATTATTGTCAAACTTAGATCGAGTTCGGAGATGGGCAATATCGGTGCACTTCTACTGGTACGTGCCACACAAAGAGGACGAATTAAAAAAAAAAACAAATATTTTACGGCACAGAAAGAGGAAGAATAATCCAATTTTTCTCCAACCTTGCAAATCCTGATATTTGCATCAGTGCTATTTCAGGTGCGAAAATGGGCAATATCGGCTTAAGTACCTCCCCCACAAAGGGTCAAAATTTTGAATAATTATAACTCTTATAAAATGTGATGTAAGTGTCCGATTGTCTTCAAATTAAACACATCTCAATATTTTTATTAAGCCAAGGTCTGGTATTAAGATGGAATATATCGGTCCACTCCTTCTGGTACCTCCCCCACAAAGGTTTAAAATTTTGAATAACCAAAACGATCATAAAATCCTAAATAAGCATTCGCTTCTGCTCAAATTACACACATTATGATATTTTTATTAACTCAAGGTCTGGTGTTAACATGGAATATATCGGTCCACTCCTTCTGCTACCTCCCCCACAGAGGGTCAAAATTTTGAATATCTATGAAGCTCATAAAACGCGAAATTAACATCCGATTGCATTTAGACTTGGCACATCTCAATATTTCTATCAGCGCAAGATCTGTTATAAAGATGGTAGAGATCGGACCATTCCTAATGGTACCTCCCCCACAAAGCGATAAAGTTTTGAATAACCAAAAAGTCTATAAAAATCCGAAATAAGTATCAGGTTCTCTTTATATTTCACACATCTCATTATTTCTAAAAACACAAGACCTGTTGTGAAGATGGGATATATCGGTCCACTCCTTTTGGTACCTCCCCCACAAAGGGAGGATAGGAAAGCTTCGTATAAAGTACAGGTATAGTCCTTATATAACAGAATTTTTAGAGAATAACCAATTTGGGCAAAGTTATTTTGGTATTTTGACTTAGCCTTCAATAAAACAAGAAATGCATCATTGTGGCGCCCAATGGTTCTAACAACCAATTGGTGCGAAAAATGATAAAATATTCTGCTACTTTTTAGGATAAGACTTCTGATTGGTATTTTGTGGCGCCCAAAGCATCTAACAACCAATGGGAGCTAAAAATTATAAAATATCCTGCTACTTTTTAAGATAAGACTTCTGACTTGTATTTACACATTTATCCCAGCCTCCCCTCACTCGTGCGAGGACATTTCTTATTGTAAATTTCCCATTAAGTTTTCAAAATAATCATTTAATAATCAATGCCATCTAGAGTTGAATAGCTCAACTAAAATTGTTCAGCTCTACTAAGTTCCTCTAGTTCCATTAAACCCATAAGAAAACGAACCAAAGTTATACTTTTTCCAATTTTTATCTTTATTCACTTAATTTTCGGGACAAGGGGCGGTCCAGTTCCAGTTCTTGTAGGAAACACACTGACCCAAAGCCGAATCGAACAATTCAGCGGTGGGGCAACGGACAATTTCAGCTGCGGCACCAGCCTTAGTGCACAGCCAATAGCAAGTGGGATCCCAGAAGTTACGAACAGGAACATTCAGGTTGCTACTGGTGCAGGTGGGCATATTGTTGCTATCAGGATCGCAGGCCAACACACAGGCAATGACACAAGCCAAGAAAGTCAAACAGGCGACTGAAAAGAATTTATACGAAAATCAAATTTTGGAAATAATTTCCAACTAAAGAAATGCTTACAGAATTTCATTTTCCTTGTTTAGTAGTTCTGAATCGTTCCAAATTGAAACTTGTCGAATTGATTGAATTCTACTAAGTTTTTATAGGGTTTGCAAAGAAGATATTTGACAATTGATAAGAGAAAGTTTAATTGATTTTCAATATACCACCTGTAGTTTATCATTTTGATTCGGAACTGAACACTGAAACGACATAAGTTATTAATAGCTGATAACAGGTGATTTAATTGGCTGCTACTCTTTCTCTTTTTGTTGTCATTTTGGTTATTTGGTACTAGCGTTGGAAGTTATTTTTAGGCAAAGAACATGTCTTTTTCGAAGTGGTACACGTTTTACAGCTGAATCTGGTCAAGGTCAAATGACTTGAATCAAAATTGTAGATGATTTACCACACACCTCTCAGATGGAGGCTCGTTTTTTTGCGAACATGATAAGAAACGAAATAAAGTATTGTCCTCCAAAAAGTTGCACGGAAAACGGAATATAGAGGTTGTGATAACGTTAGACCGAATTTATCTTCCTTTATACATGTTCTGGATTTCTGTATTTTGCCATACCTAATGTAAAAACTTCACTTTGCCCCCTCTCTCTTTTGCATAAAAACATATGGGAGGAAATATTTCTATTACGAAGTGGTGGGATGGAATATAACGTTTTTAAAACCTCCGAAGTCACAATCAGGGCTTATGAGGGAACTAGCTTCTTAAATATTCTAGCACAAACGTAAAAAGGAAATTCAGACTCATTAATTCAAATTTTAAATTGTTAAGGCTATTGCGAACCCTCAGAATTTATTTGGCTCGAATGAAGAGTTATCAAAAATTTAAAAAATTATGATCGAAAATCGATTACAATTCTCTGCCTTAGGCTGTGATATCCATTACGAACTTCAAATACCAAATTTGAAAGAATTCCGGTAAATAATGTCGCTAAAATCATCAAAATACCGAATATCGGGAGGTACCGTTATATGGGGGCTATACGAAGACGTAGACCTGCAGGGACAATTTTCTGTCATAGGCTGTAATATCTATTACAAACTTCAAATGCCAAATTTAAAAGAATTCCGGTAAATAATGTCGCTAAAATCATCAAAATACCGAATATCGGGAGGTGTGGTTATATGGGGGCTATACGAAGGACTTGCACGGACAATTTTCTGTCATAGGCTGTAATATCCATTACGAACTTCAAATACCAAATTAGAAACCATTCCGGTGAATAATGTCTCTAAAATCATCAAAATACCGAATATCGGGAGGTACCCTTATATGGCGGCTATACGAAGACGTGGACTTGTACTGACAATTTTCTGTCATAGGCTGTAATATCCG